TTTTAGATTCCATATGTAAATGAGAACATGCAGATTTTTCTTTCTATGTCTTGCTTACTTTACTTAGGAAACTTGGAAAGATCTCTTTTTTAAGGCTGAATAATGTTACATTGTAAATATATAATTTCTTTATTCATTCATCCACTGACAGACACTTAGGTTCTTTCCACAATTTGGCTATTGGGAATGATACTACAGTTGATAGGAGAGCACTGATTATCTCTACAAGGTACTGATTTCATATCCTGTGTGCACATAACCCAAAGAGGAACTGCTGGATCCCATGGTTTCTTTTACCTGGTAGTATGTATTTTAAATTCCTCTATGCCTTTTTGTACCTTTTTTTTAAAAAAAATATTTTATTTTTTAGTTGTACACAATACCTTTGTTTTATTTATTTTCATGTGGTACCTGAGGATCGAACCCAGGGCCTGCATGCACTAGGCGAGCGGTCTACCACTGAGCCACACAACCCTAGTCCCCTTTTTTGTATCTTGATGGCTCATTTCTTTATTTATTGTATCAATATGTCTCAATGGCTTTTTTTTTTTCATTCACTAATGAGGATATTTTGGTTGCTCCCAAATTTCACCAATTGTAAATAACACTGCTGTAAACATCCATGCATAGGTAGACAGTAAGTCTTGAATTCATTTTAGTAAATGCCAAGAGGGGCATCACAGAGTAAGTTATGTTTGGTTTCACAAAAAAACAAAGCAAAAATACAAAGAAAAAAACGTATTCCAAAGTGGCTATAAATTTTACATTATCAACCTCAGATCAATCGATAAATACAAATTTCTTAAATCAGCACCACACATACAATAAACTCAATATAAATTTTATCTTTTAAGAAAACAAACCTTGACTAACAAAGGGAATGGTATTATTTGTATTTTGCACCTTACACTCAAACTCCAGATGAATATACATCCTTTGAGGAGAATGCAAACAGGATTACTCAGTCCTATTTAAAGTATTACTTTTCCCTCCTCTTTAGGATCCTATAATTTATATTCATGTTATGATTCAACTCCAATATAATCCTTGTGAGGGGTTATGGCATGATCTATCCAGTAGCAATAAGGAACAAAAATTAGATCTAAGAAATATTTAAAAATTGATTAGTAACTTGGTGACATATGAGATAAAAACTAAGTGATACCATTCACTGGGGTAGGCACACAGGAATAGAAACACATTTGAGATGTCAGAGATGAAAGGTAAGTTTAACTTCGAACACACTGGGCTTATAATGCCTATAGAACATCTAAACGGAGAGTTCCAATTATAGCTGATATGGGTATATGGAGTGTGGAGTGAAATCATCAATCCATAACTGGTCAACTATAACAGTTTACAGTATTATTCAGAGACAGCAAGGCATGAAGGTGATAAAGACTCTGGTGGGGTAGAGACAACTATGTGAGGGATAGTGCAAAGGTGGGAAAATCAAATTAAAGTCCTAGTAGGGGGTGAAGAATTGTCAAAGAGCTGGGCTATTTCAGAGAATGAGATAGAAAAGTGGAAGATGGTGGTGGCTGGAGAACTGGACATTTAAAAATGAGATTTTGGACGGCAACACCATTTTGGTAATGACATGATCAACCAAGAAAATATGACCAAGTAATAAATAGCTGAGGTAGATAGAGGATGTAATCATTGAAGAGATTCAAGAACTAAAAATATTATAATATTTGGCTACATGAACACAGAAATCATCTAAAAATATGACAGGGCAATATTGAAGAAACTAAAAGAAATGGGAGATTAGTATTTTGGCTCTTAACTAAAATATTCTTGAAATGACAGGAGATGGTATAGGAGTGTTCGGACAATAACAACATGGAGAGGAGTAGGTGGTATATACTTATGTGATTCAAAGTTGGGGGTTTAAGAGGAAGAAGATGGTTGAGAAGTAGATATGAGATATAACCAGGGCACCCATCCAATCTTATGAATGGTATGAGGGACATGGAAGGAAAGAGTGAACAATGATGCAGTGTCCTCAGAGGAGCTGAGTATTTTCTTAGGTTACGAAAAGGAAGAGAATGTTCAGAAAAGAATTAAGGACATGCAGGTTTTGCTGATTGTGAGTTGAGGAGCATAGTGGAAGGGTTTTAGGAGTTGAAGACTATAGGAAAATGAGGTCAGAAAACAGGCAACAGCTGTAATGGATGAGTCTGGGAAATAAAGAATAACTGAAGTGACTGACATATTTGAGATAAATATTATGATACTATTAATCCAAATGGTCTTGAGGCATAGGATGGTAATAACAGTGCTTGGGAAGGCTTAGGGACTAGAGTAGGGGTTTGGGCCAGAAGCATACAGAGTTCTATAATTCTCATTCCCGTCTGCTAATAGTGATGTAGAGGCCAGAAGAAGGGAGCTGAAAGTTTAATTCCAGAGCACAAGATGTGTTCCCATGGAATGGCAATAAGCCAACTGTTTCTAAGATCACAGTGTCCATGACACTTTGCAATATTTCAAGATTTTGTCCCAGTGAGTACACGTAATAGGAGCTAGCATTTACCAAGGACTTGAAATTTTATACACGTTATTTTATTCCATTTTTAGAACAATCCCAAGAGGAAAGTATTATCAGAGCCATTTTACATTCAACAAACTAAGGCTAATGAGAATAAGATACCTTATATGCCACCTCAGCTCCTGCTAGACCCAATCCTATATAAAATCCAAAACAAGAGAATTTCATGTGAAGAAATACTTTGGTTTTTAATCAAGATGAATATTTCTCTTCACTTTTTACCTCCAAAGAAATTATTTTGTAAAGACTTAAAATACCTCTTTTTCTGGATAATGATTCCAATACAAACACTGTAACTAGTTTATGATAGTCCAACAAACCAATAGCAAAAATTAGCTACATTAATTCTCTAGACTTCTGCGAATGTATTGAGGAGGGAGAGGGAGCCTACCTCCAGAGAATTACAATGACTGAGGAATTCAATCAATGGAAGACACGTGCATCAGTTCAGTACATATGAAGAACCATGAAAAAGTTAGTTCACAGACCCAAATAAGCTACAAAAGTCAAAGAAAAAGAAAAAAGAGAAAGAGATGTTTTCATTTTATATGCCCAAGAGTTACAGAAAAGAAGAGGAGGCAGTGTTAGAATTTTAAAGTTAAATACAGATGAACTAAAAGGAGAGGGAAAAAATTAACATTATTTAGATAGCTCCATTAAGTTGAATACTACTTCCCCAAATTAAATAAAACATTTTAGTTAAAGAAGACTTAATTGCCACAGAGCATTAATTTTTTAATAGAATTCATCAAAAGAACTTATTACAATGTTAAATAAACTATCACAATTCAGTGAAAGTAATTTTCACATAAATAAGCAAAATTTCAAAATTAAAATTTTAGTTAAGATTCAGCAGGATATACAAATATATTTATCTAAAACTATTATTTGAGATGTGGTTACAAACAACTTTCTGCTTTGCATTGTTTCCTAGCATTTTCATCTGTCTACACATTCACCTATGAGCAGAGACATGCATCTGTAGGCAAGATGACCAAAGCAATGGTACATATTACATTTATGAACTATGAATCCTAGTTGTTTTTTCCATTAAAAATCACACAGAGGGCTTGCTAAGAAATCTGTTTATAAAAAAAGATTGACAGGTGTTTCTGATGAATAGACAAGTTTTAGGAAAACAAACTTGACCAATGGTTTTAGAACTATGTTCTGAAGAGTTTTAAAATTCTCCAAAAATATCTTTGGATTTCTTTCACCTGTTTAAGTCCAGAATAAGCCAATTTTTGTTTGTTTGTTTGTTTGTTGTTGGGTACCAGGAATTGAACTCAGGGGCACTCAACCACTGAGCCACATCTCCAGTCCTATTTTGTATTTTATTTAGAGATAGGATCTCACTGAGCTACTTAGTGCCTCAATTTTGCTGAGGCTGGCTTTGAACTCGTGATGCTCCTGTCTTAGCATCCCAAGCTGCTAGGATTACAGGCATGTACCACCATGCTCCGCCCAGAAAAAGCCTATTTTTAAAATCTATTTTATGTATCCATTCTGCTTCTAAAAGTATGAAAGCCATACAACCAGACAGAGCTAAGTGAACTCTCCAATGTGGAAATTCAACTCCTGATTTTGGCATCAAAACTGATCTAATCCAAGGATAATAGAGACTGAATAGATATAAGACCAGACCAGGAACAATGGCTATAGGATATGTGTTAATGTCAAAAGGAAAACCTTACAAAGGTAGTTGTGTAATTCATATATTTTTATTATTGCAACTTTAAATAACTTATATATAATAAAAGTTCCAAATGGAAAAAAATATACACACATATATTGTATTAATTGCACATACTTCTGTCAATTAAGAAAAATTACCTTATTCGAGACTTGTAAGTAAAAATATCAAGCATATTAAAATAAATTCAAAGCTTTATGACCTTGCCTCCTAAAATCCTAGTTCTGCCACTCCAAGCTCTGTCTAGAAGACAGAAGGCAGGGAAGGAAGTTATAGATCTGAGAAGGTGTTCTCCTTAAGGAAATGATCAACCAAGGAGAAATAAGATCATAATGAATATTGTTGCTTCCCTGTAAGCATATGCTTTGAACACCTCTTAGGTGCCTCCCTTAATCTACTCTAACCCAGAAAACAACATTGTGCTTTGTGGTGGAAAGTAGTTAAAATGCTAGTCTCCTTCTTCTGTCCTGTGCTTGGATATTTCCCCATAGGACTTGGCCTATATAGCCTGGCTTTTGAAATTTTTCATTTCAACCACTCTATGTATTAATGGAAATTAGATTTTTTTTGTGTGTGAGTGCATGTGTGCGCATGCTGCTGTAGACTGAACCCAGGGCCTGCATGCTGAACATACATTCTACTACTAACCTATACTCTTGGCTCTAGCAATTAAGATTTGAGATATCCAATCCTATATGTAAACAGAAACTCAGGGCACTGCTTCATCAAATGAACCAGCATGGTAATTTTACTCACCTGTCTGAATACACATACTAAGCAGGAGATGAACTGAGTAAGAACCCAGGAGAGCAACCATCAGCAGCAATAAACTAAAATATAAGGGAACACATAGTCAAATCTCACCAGAAGTGTCTCTTTCTTAATGGCATCTCATTACAAAAGTAAATTTCTTTACATTCAAATGTTCACAGGAACTATCTCTGAGTTGTACAAGTATAGTAGAAATTAAGAAGATAGTTTTCTACTCTTCTTTATTTACCAAGATTTATGTAAATGAAAACTACTGCTTTTAAAATTTAAAAAAAAAATGAGAAACAAGGTTTATTAAAAAAAAGAAAACTTCCTTATTTTACATTCTTGTCTGCTGACTGCTGGTTCAGCCATTCAATGATTTTGATACTTCCCTTTTGTGACTAGTTTTGTCCTATTCTAAGCCTAACAAAAATTTTAGTTATGAAATCTCACTGTCTTTGCTCTTCCCTCTCACCCTCCTTCCCATTCCAATGATGTGGACCTCCTTACCATATCTTCATCTATAATATTGAGACCATATTTCCTAGCATCTATTAAAAAAAATTCATTCTCCAAATCAAACCAAAACAATTCAGTTAACACACTTCTAATGATGCAATTTGAAAACTGTGCAAACAATGTAATTAGTGGAGTCCTCTCAACAGCATTACAAAAAGAAACAACTACTTATTCTCAGAAAGATACTAGCAGGATCAGCTTTTAGCTATAGAGCTATCCCCAGGGGTTACTCCAATAGTTAAAAAAATTCTATCTTTGTGGTTCACTTAATACTTGTTAATAACAGTTTAACATCACCCAAAGGGACAGATGATATGATTCAGTGAGCCCACATCTATGTTAGACCTTGATATATAAAATATAATTTCTCACAGCGAACCAAAAAATAAGTCCTATAATTATGACTTGCCTACAGTGTCACATATATTTTTGTTTTAAAATTATGAAAGTCTGTGAACACATCCCACAACAAAAGCAAGATGGGATATTTAAAAGTTGATTTGTTTATCAAAAATTTTGGAATAAAAGAAAGAAAGATACCCAAATAAGTCTCTGTATTTTAAATTTTCCAGTAAAGTAAATCTACTTTTAACAGTAAAACAAAATAAACTTGAATTTCATGCATTCAATTTGCCATGGAGCTAGATGCTAAAGATAAAGTCTAGTTCTAGAGGATTTCAGGGTTTAGTGGGAAAGTAACAAACAAATTGTTATAATAAATTATAATAACATTATGAATATACACAAAGTATTGTGGAAAGCACATAAAGGCCAGAAAGCCTTCTATTTTGGGCTAATTGGCCTATGAGCTAAGTCTTAAAAGATGCAAAGGAATAAGCATAGAATACCTGGCTTCAGAAAGTGAAATGAGACTACTTAACAATAGGAGAAAGAGAGGAGATGAAGAGAAATGAAAACAGTATGTGTTTTATTTGCACTCAAAAAATTGCTATTTATAAGTAAGCTGCATAGCTGATGATATGGTTTGGACCTAAAATGTCCCTCAAAGGATCATGTATTGAAGGCTTAGTCCCAATGCAGCAATGTTGAGAAGTGGGGCTTTTGAGAAGTGATTGGATCATAAAGACTCCAACTTTATCAATGGATTAATCCAACTGATGGTCAAAATTGAATGGGATATTGAGAGGTGGTAGAAACTGCAGGAGGAGAAACCTATTAAAGTAAGTGGATTTTTGAGGGGCATGCCCTTGTGGACAGTATCTTATACCCGTGGTGCTCCTCCCCCTGCTTCCTGACTGCCATGAAGTAAGCAGCTTCTCTCTGCCATCTTTCCACCATGAGATACTGCCTCACCAAAGGCCCAGAAACAGCGCAGCCAGTAGACCACGGACTGAAATCTCTTAAATCACAAGCCAAAATAAATCTTTCCTCCTTTGTTTTCTCAGGTATTTTCACAGTGATGAAAAGCTGATTAACAGAGCTAACAAATTTTGGAGATCTAACACAAATGAGTAAGCTAAATAAGCCACCTCCTAAGGTTATAAATGGGTACAGATCAAGTTCTGTGTTTAAAATTTGCCATGCTTTTGGATACAGACATGTACTGCATAACAACATTCTGGGTTGATGAATTACATATAGAATGGTGGTCCCATAAAATTATAATGAATGTGAAATATTACTATCACCTTGTGATATCATAGCTGTCTTATCATATTGCATTCACAAGTTCATGGTTATGCTGGGGTAAACAAACCTCCTGCACTTCCAGTCATACAAAAGTGTAGCATATACTATTATGTATAATATATAATACTTGATAATGTAATAAATGACTGTGATGCTGGTTTATGCTTTTACCATGCTATAAATGTTATCTACAGTGTAATCCTACTTACATGAATAAAATTTAACTATAAAAAACAGCCTCAGACATGTCTTTCAGGAGGTATTCCTGAAAAGGGCATTGTTACCATAGGAGACAACAGCTCCATGTGTGAAACTGCCCCTGGAGACTTCTAGGAGGGACAACATATGGAGGTAGAAGATAATGATACTGATTATCCTGACCCTGTGTAGGCCTAGGCTAATTTGGGTGTTTGTATCTCAGTTTTTAACTAAAAATTAAATAGGAGAACAAAAAAATTTTAGGAAAAAAACTTAATAGAATGAGGATATAAAGAAAAAACATTTTTTGCATAGCTATACAAGTGTTTGTGTTTTAAGCTAACTATTATCTTATTTGCCTATATTATTCAGTATTGTAACATGCTATCCAGGTTTATAGCACAGGAACAACAGGTGGAATACAGCCTAGGCTAAAAGAGCCAAAAAGTTTAATTTTTTTTAAAGTTTATAGAGTAAAATGTTACTATAAGCTAAGGTTATTTATTATTGAAGAGAAAAAACTTTTTTTATAAATATATTTTAACCTAAGAGTACAATGTTTATAAAGCATATAGCAATATACAATAATGTTCTAGGCCTTCATATTCATCACCACTGACTCACCCAGAGCAATTTTTAGTCCTGCAAGTTCCATTCATGGTTTTTGCCCTATACAGGGGCATTATTATTATTATTATTATTATTATTATTATTATTATTATTATGCTGGGGATTGAATCTAGGGCCTTGTGCATGTGAGGCAAGCACTCTACCAACTGAGCTATATCCCCAGCCCCAGGTGCATTATTTTTATACTGTTTTTACTGTATCTTTTCTATGTTTGTTTAGATACACATACTATTCTGTTATAATTGCCTACAGTATTCAGTATTGTAACATGCTATCCAGGGTTATAGCACAGGAACAACAGATGGAATACAGCCTAGGTCTGTAGTACCATCTATGTTTGTATTGTGTATGATATTCACACAACAATGAAATTGCCTAAAAATTCCTCAAACACATCCCCCTCGTTAAGCAATTTATGACTGCATACAGCATCCAAGCTACAGATTAGCAACAAGGGTAGCAAAAAAATCACTAAAATCTCAGAAATAATTTTAACAGAAATTGTATAATTGTAGCTGCTGAAACCTAACTTTTTTCTTCTTAATGTACAATCAAAATGAAATTAAAAGAAAAAAAAACTCACCTAAATCCAAGGATACCTGTATTAGCCATAACATAAGGTAAGCCAAGGATGCCACTTCCCATGATGGCATTCATCAAATTAAAGACTGAGAAACCAAAGGAAACTCCTGGGGATACCTGTCTTTGAAGTTCCTGTAAGCACAGAAATTTAATAGTGTTAAATATCTGGAGAGTGAAGTTCAAATTTTGCCCAGTAAATCACTGAGAGGTTATGAAGATCATTTCCCACAAACAAGAAGGCTTTGCAGGACATGCTAGTTGCTTAATCAGAACAGGTTTTCTTTTGTTTCCTTCTTACCTCCTAGAGATATAGCTTCAGGAATCTGGTTTCCTAGGAAAATCATCTCTCCCAGTACAGAGGCCAGGTAGGCTTCAGGAAGAGACATGACTAATCTTGTGACTACAAGATAGGAATGGGATGGGGACTGAGAGGAGGAACATGGACTCAGCTCATGTGATTCCTTAAGAAACCCTGAGTCAGCTTGTGGAAGTGCTGTCCACAACTGTTCTTCCTATTACTAAGGCTGCAAAATCAAATCTTTATTTTTATACTTATTTAGTCCAATTGGAACAATGGTTAGGAATACCTTGCAGTGGCAATATAATAAATAGAAACAATTCAAGATTCTTTGGCAAGTATATCCCTGAGAATACCATGTCCCCAAATAGCAGTTGGGAGCAAAACTCTCCAAGAATTTCAGTTAAAAAGCGGAGGTGCAGGCTGTGAACACAGCTCAGTGGTAGAACACATGCCATAAGACCATGAGTCAATATATTTAGCACCGCAAAAATAACTAAATAAAAAAAGGGAAATGTTATGTGTGCTTATTACCAGGCAACCTCCATTCCTTCACCACTACAGATATCTCTATTGAGATGTTCATAGCCCTCCAATAACTAAATCAAGAAAAGAAACATCTCGTTACTCTTGCAAAGACCTCACAAAACTGGTGGAGGACACTGGAAGGCGACAAGGACACTAACAAACAGCGATGGTGGCTCAATCCCGTCGGGTGCCCAACCTCTCTCCACTCAGTGCTGCATCTCTTCCACCTGAGCCGGTACAGAAAGAAAACTTAAACTTTTCTCCCTAGAATGTGGGAGGTTGCCGCCACACTTGTAAGCCTCAGGATCTCATCTGAGTCTCGGCTGCTGCCTTTGGGACCCACTGGCAGGCTCCAACTTCATGCCTCTCCCCACGCCTCCCCGGTCTTTTCCAGTTCTTATTTGGCAGGCACTTAAGGGGTGCTGCAAGGCGTCAGCGCCGGCGCAAGAGCGGAGCCCACTTACGTTGCTTAGCAACGGGCTCAACTCTTCGGCTGCCGCCACCTCTTCAGATGGCTGGGAAGAGACGAGCCAGCCCTGCTCAGCGTTGATGCTCCCCCAAAACGCCTCCATGTCACTCCTTGGTGTACTACCGGGTCCATCCGCGTGCCTCAATTCGTGCTCTACGCTCCAGGCGTTAATCGCTCCAGAGGCGGGGTTACGGGCCCGACCCTTCCGGGTTCCGGAACCTCACTGGGGCAAGGAAGAAAGGAGCCACTCGTCGTGATTTGATGACGGTACCCCTCCGCGGCGATCAGTGATGACGTCACGTCTGCGACCCATTTTCGAGCCGCACCAGAGCATGAGGTGAGAGGGGGCTGGTCTTCAAGCCAGCTGCCAGAGCGACCCTGGAATTGGGAAGGTGCAATTGGTGAGGTGGCAGCCGCGGGACCCTTGATAGTGCAGCCCTGGGGCGGCACGTCGCCTTGGCCGCTGGAGCGCGGAAGTGCTGCGAGGCCACCCTGCCATCCGGTTTAGCTTAGGTTCGAGTACTGGGTAATAAGCAATCTGCTTAAAATGCTGTTTTATACCAACTTTTAGCCACATTTACAAATGGGACAACGGGACTCAAATTTACCAAGCATCACCCACCTGGTTAAAAGTGCTAGACGCAATTTAAATCCTGAGTGTGAGGTTGAGGTTTGACTTTGTCGCTTTACAGGATTCTGGTGCCGGGCCCTTTCCCCTTACAATTACTTGTTTGCTATTTTAGAAAACAAAGTGAATGACAGTGTTTAAAACATTCAGGAAAGCCCCTTGTCCTCAAAATACGTTAGACTCTGCTTTAAAGTTAGGACATGTGGCAGTAAAGCATGGAAGACAAACAACCTAACAATATACTGTATTAGGAACACAAGCACTAAGGTCAGTCTTACCTGGTTTTAGTCCTTGCTCGGCTACTTACCAGCAAAAGACTTTGAGTGAGTTAACTTACTTCTGAGCCTTCGCTTACGCAGGTCTTTTACAAAATGAGGATGCAACCCTACACACCTCCCGATATTTAATAATATAGCATCTGATACAATAAGCACCCACAAGTGTATCCAGTAGCACTATATTGCTATTGGTAATATCGTATATAATAACCATTTCATCTAAACATGACACTTTGAGTCAAATATCAGGCTTCCAATCCCAAATGCATTCTGTAGATTCAAAGGCTTATTGAGTATAGGGAGGCAGATGGATCACTAATGATGTAGCATAATGTGGGATGAAACTCCACATTTTTTACTATTTATAAAAGTCATATTCTGGAAAAGATAGTATACTTCTCCCATAGGTTGTTTTATTTATGAGAATTTAGGTTATTTGAAATTTTTAATAGTTTTATCTCAAAAGTCGTTGTGAATGTGTTCATTTGTAGCTTTGTGGTATTTTTAAAATGGATTCTTTCTTTCTTTCTTTCTTTCTTTCTTTCTTAAAGAGTTGTATGGAGGCCATTTATATTCTCAAGAAGACTTCTGAAAGTGGAAAACTGTAATGCAACTGTATCAGAATTGCTGATCCCACTAGCATGGATAACAGTGACACAAAAGCTTAGGAAAGTGCCTGATATTTTCTTTTGGGGTCAAAGAAAAAGATTCTCAACCATGCCAGAAATAGAAGCAAATAAAAGAGACTCTGAGTTATTTTCACCACCTTCTGATGTTCGAGGAATGATGAAACTTGATAGAACAGCTTTTAAAAAGACAGTCACCATTCCAGTGCTTAAAGTGAGGAAAGAAATAGTCAGCAGAGTGATGCGATCCCTTAAAAGGGTAGCACTGCAGCGCCCAGGCATAAAGCGGGTGATTGAAGATCCAGAAGATGAAGAAAATAGACTAATTATGTTGGATCCCTATAAAATGTTTACTTGTGATTCCTTTGAGAAAGCAGAACTCAGTACTTTAAAGCAACTTAATGTCAGTCCACAGATTTCTAAATATAGTTTGGAACTAACTTATGACAACTTTAAGTCAGAAGAAATCTTGAGAGCTGTGCTTCCTAAAGGTCAAGATGTGATTTCAGGGTTTAGCCGAGTTGGACATATTGCACACCTGAATCTTCGAGATCATCAGCTCCCTTTCAAGCATTTAATTGGTAGGTGAGTTGTAGTGATATTCATGTACTAGAAAACAAATGGCAAATTCTATTTTCATTTCTTAATTTTTTTGAAATGCCAAATTATAGAAGCAGAACAGTTTATCATTGTAATTTTAAGCCAGATCTCCAGCCACATATCTTCTTCTGAGGGCCATTTTGGAATACCCTTTCCCGAGTCAGCAGTCTCTACATGCTGGTCCAGGTTTTTATGTACACCAATACAGAAAAATTTGTTCTATCTTGAAAAGAATTCTTCCTTTTGGTGCACAAGACTATTAGGCCCTTGGTACAATATTCAGTACTAAGTTTCATGAATTTGAGTATTGTATCGCCAAAAGTACAACATTGCTTACTTTATGTGTTCGTTGATTCAACTAATTAAACCTCTTCTATATGTTACTCACCATACTTTTTTTTTTAGTGTTCCTAGCTTTTTAGAAATAATGTTTATGTGTGTCCTGTATCTGTAGCTCCAGGTTTAAACTTGAGACCTTGATTCTTTAGGATAAAAAACAGAAGACTAATCAAAATTATCCTTATCCTTATAGAAATATTTGATGTCCATGCATTTTTCAGATTACTTAAGAATAAGAGTAATTTTCAGAACTTCTGGGAATTACTTTCAGCTTTAAAAGGTGTGGTATACAGTACTTTGCATGGGTAGAATTTTAGAACTGTGCTGCTAGGCATTTCCTTTGTTTTTAATTGATGAAAGGGATTGATAATGCCTAATGGTAACATAATAAATACTTAAGCAGATCCTTATAATTGTAACTGATATCAAGTGTAGGATTTCCTATAGTCATTGTCTACCCTAACTCAAACATTACTATCTCATTTCTACTTTTAACATCTCATGAAGAGGCACTCAAAATTTAAAAAGAAATATTTCCATACAGTAGTAATTTTAAACCTTTTATCATTAGAACTTCAGAATTACTTTTTATTTTTAAAATTTCATTCCTCATTTAAAATAAACCTGAATACTCGAAAATTGAGTTCAGTTACCTGAAGCAGAATAGAATAAAAGTAACAATTGATTAGAGTTAGATATTATTCAGAATCAGGTATCTAATTATTGGGAAGATTAAGACAAATTCTGATTGTATTTCAGCATATTTCTGTTACTGAGTACTTTTTACTAACAAATTATCTTTCCTTATGCAATGAGGTACAGATAGATATATAGATTATGATAAACTTTTGAAGTGCTGACAAAAAAACAGACTTCAGTTAAAAAGCATCAATATGCCATTTCTGATGTACTTTATAGCTTTTCTGCTGTGATATTACAATTGAAGTAAATTATGTTTTATTTAGATAACTCTAAAGAGTCTTATTGTTGTTGGAAACATTGTTTTGCTGACGTAGATTTCCAAAGTGGAGGCACTGGTTTCAAACCCACAGTAAAACAAACATTTGGTTTGAGGCCAGTGGGGACAGGCAGATGTTTTTGCTGGTGTTTTCTGAGACCATTTGTTGCCAGTGTATTTGCATCTCTTCTTTCCATTCTTTACAATTCCTATGGTCTACCTTTTTTGCTCACTTGATGTACATTTGAGAAGATTTAATAAAAACATGGAAAAATAAGCCAGGTGTGGGTGGCCTATGCCTTTAATCCCAGCTACTTGGGTGGTTGAGGTATAAAAGATGGAAAGTATGAGACCATCCTGGACAATCTGGCAAGACTTTGTCTCAAAAAATTTAAAAAAAGGCTGGAGACATAGCCGAGTGAGCACTGCTGGGTTCAATCCTCAGAAATGGAAAAAAAAAAAAAAAAAGTACCCATATATTTTTTGTATTAGAGACTGTCAGATATTAATTTTAGTAATCTGTTGAATTTTTAGAATTGTATGCAACATTACACACATTATAGTTTTAAATCTTTAAACCGAAGGAAAAGACAATTCATTTAATATTTCCACTAGCTTTTGTTCTGCAACCAGCAGGTTATTTTTATTATGAATTTTTCATCTTTTAGGCCAAGTTATGATTGACAAAAATCCAGGAATCACCTCAGCAGTAAATAAAATCAATAATATTGACAATACATATCGAAATTTCCAAATGGAAGTGCTATCTGGAGAAGAGAACATGCTGACCAAGGTACAAAATCTTTTGTTTTTTTCCTAGTATGGTGTATATCAAGAATAATGTTTAGAATTGTAATAGATGAAAAAGATTTAAAGTATTTATAACATCAAATATTAATAAGTTGAAGATTGTGTATATTTATGTACTATTGATGGAATGATATTCACAGATAAAGCCTTTTCAAAGGAATTGGTTAAATCCAGTGGACTACTCCATCATTAAATATTTTTTATCTCTGTAATTGTTAAAATAAATTGCCCATTGACAGGTTAACTGACAAAAAAAGCAAGTTGTAGGATAAAGACATATTTAAACCTTCCTGGTTACACCCAGAGATACTTTTAGTTGGCAGAGACTTGCAAAAACATTTCCAACTCTGGAACGTTTGATGAGGTTGGAAGGGCAACAGAAATACGTTCAAATTTGAAATTAAGGTCCAGGAAAGGCGGAGATAGAAAATATATTTTTACTGGATTTATATGTTAGGAACTTTCTAGTCTTTGATTTTTTTTCCTCAATAAAATAAGGATATTAACAATGGCTGAGTCATATTCCATGATTATAATTTTATTTTCTGTTTTCAAACGTGTCTGTGATAGACCCAAAAGAAACTACTTTTGTTCAAGACTCGGCACCACTGTATGTATTTAGTTTAGCCATGAAAACTCAAATTTGGGAAAAGAAATAACAATATGGGAATGATTACTCTATAAACTGGCTCTCGTTTATAGACATGAAATTTGCAAAGTTCAAATAACTGTCTAAAAATAGTAAAGTACCTCAAAACTTAATGACACAGCTACCATTGCCTCCCTTTTACTAACTGAAAACTATAAAAAAAGGAAAGCTTGTTTGCTATGCAGAATTGCTATCTACAGTTTAGTTTAGCTACTTATAAAGATGTGTGTGTTGTGTTGTTTTAAATGATGTTTTTTCTCTCCATCTATGACATAAGAGTCTAGTTAAACCAGTCAGCCAGTTGGCCTTTCTGAAAATTTCCTCATGTGATCTGGAAATGACTCCATGGTCTTTTGGGATTGAGGTAGATGACTATTTGATAACTTTCCTCATGAAAAAGTCCAATTCAAGATATTAACTGGCCCCAAGAATAGCATAAACACCAGAATTCTAATTAAAGTGCCTTTAAATGCACTGTTACTTTTCTAATAGTAGTAAATTTAAATGTGTGTGTGTGCTCATGTGACTAGGCATACCTTTCCAAAATCAGTGGCTGGAATTTAGGACCAAGCAGATTGACTAAAAACATTATATGACTTTTTCAGGTTCGGGAAAACAACTACACCTATGAATTTGATTTTTCAAAAGTCTATTGGAATCCTCGTCTCTCCACAGAACACAGCCGTATCACAGAACTTCTAAAGCCTGGGGATGTCCTATTTGATGTTTTTGCTGGAGTTGGGCCCTTTGCTGTTCCAGCAGCAAAGAAAAACTGCACTGTATTTGCCAATGATCTTAATCCTGAATCCCATAAATGGCTGTTACACAATTGTAAATTAAATAAAGTAGACAAAAAGGTGAAAGTCTTCAACTTGGATGGTAAAGACTTTCTCCAAGGACCAGTCAGAGAAGAGTTAATGCAGCAGCTGGCACTGCCAAAAGAAAGAAAACACTCTGTCCACATTGTCATGAATTTGCCAGCAAAGGCTATAGAGTTTCTCTGTGCTTTCAAATCACTTTTAGATGGGCAGCCATGCAGCAGTGACCTCCTTCCCATAGTACACTGTTACAGCTTTTCTAAAGATGTTAATCCTGCTAAAGATGTTCAGCAACAAGCTGGAGCAGTGTTAGGCATTTCCTTGGAAGCATGCAGTTCAGTTCATCTAGTAAGAAATGTGGCCCCTAACAAGGAAATGCTCTGCATCACCTTTCAGATTCCTGCTTCTATACTCTACAAGAACCAGACCATAAATCTAGGTGAGAAATTTCTGGAGAATTTAATGAAACTATAATACCTTGTAGCTTTCTTTGGGATACACTATTAAATTTGGAAATTGCTTCTAGTTCATTATTTTGGTTCACACCCCTTGCCATTCAATTTTGACTTGTTTCTCCAAATGTTCAGTTAAACAGAATTCTATTTCATTCAAGTAATAAATCCACAGGAATGTTATTTCATATCTAAATTGGCCATATTACAATTCTTAAAATGCCTGTATTTTTTAGTAGTACTTTCAACTGTTAAGTATCTTATCTAAAATATGTTTTCTGTTTTTATTACAGAGTATGGCGAAGATCCACCTCTTAAACGGCAAAAGACAGATAATGTCTTTTCAGAAGGAAACACACAAATTGCTTCAAACACTTAATTGTAAATGTTTTTCCCATCTGCCCACTAGACTTATATGTAATGAAATACAACTTATGTGATTTCATAAAATTGTAGCATTCCTTTACTACTTAACCCTTATACTTTACCCTGCTATTTTATAAACTGTCACTAAATTAAAATTTAACTAAATGTACTAACTATATTTTTATCTAAATTATACTATGTAATTATTTTATAATCTAAATTACATCTGTTTATCCGTTAAATACACTTAAATATTGTCTGTCTTAGGAAGTCGTTTTTGAAGATAGAGTAATTGCTATCTACCTAGGAAGGTATTAATAACACATTTTAGTCATATTTAGTGAAAGAGTATAGTTATTTTACGCAAGTACTTCTCTAGTACTGGTTATCACTATAAAAAGTCATTAAAATATGATATTACTTAGAGCACTATAAAGAGTCATTAAAATATGATATTACTTAGAGCAGGGACACACAAATCACATTCTATAGGCTGAATCTGGCCCACCACCTGTTTGTAGTATTGGTTCGCCACCTTTCTGGCCTTCAACCTGAGATTCAAATGGTTGCATTTTGTGACATGTGAAAAACATGAAATTTGAGTTTCAGTGTACATAAAGGTTTTTTTTTTTTTTTAATATTTACTTTTTTTAGTTGTAGTTTAACATAATACCTTTATTTATTTCTTTATTTTTATGTGGTGCTGAGGATCGAACCCAGGGCCTTGCATATGCTAGGCGAGCACTCTACCACTGAGCCACAACCCTAGCCCGTACATAAAGTTTTACTGGAACATCCCCTACTCATGTTTTCATACTGTCTATAGCTACTTTCTTAATACAGCAGCAAAGTGAACAGTTGCACCACAGTCTTACCGTGACACATCTTCATATTGTTGCTTACCACACTACAAATCACAGTGACATGGATGTAGTAACTCAACATTTATGCCATATATACAGCCCAGCCACAAACTTTTTTATTATCAGTACATACTTATATCAGGACAAGAAAAGTGGACTTGGAATGTTGTGCTTTGAAAGCACAGTGGAGTGTGAATTATTTCAACACTGAATTAGATGACAAAAATCTATAGCTAACTGAAAACAATACAATATGCATTACTACCACCAGACAAAGCACTTGTCACAGTTTGATCTTTCCCAGAATGTTCTGTAGTTGAAACACATAGCATGTATCCCTTTCAGGAGTGAATTAGAACCCTTCTTTCTTGCCTAAATGCACTGAAATTCAAAACTGTTTTGAAACTCAACCCAAGAACTGTATGCTGATGTTAGGCTGGAAAGTACATGTATAAATGATGTTCATATCAACCCTTAATTAGACAGAATATATTGTAATTATAAAGAAAACAATATTTAAATGCTTCAATTAGTATTTTAAATCTTACCCTTTTCATTTAGAGTGGGTAAATAAATGTGTTATTATTTCATTATTTAAATCTAGGCTCACCTTAAACTTTCAGATGTGATCTCAAGTAAACTCTTGATGAAACCATTAGAAAATAACAGCTAGAAAACTCATTGGGTACAATTTTTAAAATTTTGATAACTTTTTAACAGATTCTTGCCACCTTAATTGGATTTTTAAAATTATTTTCTTACCACCCATGGACCACCAAAAGATAGCTTCTAAGAAAAGCTTTTAGAAGAAATATTTATGTATTCCATTCTTTTAATACCTGCTTTAAAAAGAAGGTAGTTGTTAGCAAAACAATTTCAATATAATGACTTTCTCAGAACTTCTCAGGATATCAACAAGATCATTTAGTTCATGTCATTTATGTCCCATAGAAGGTCAAGATACTTGTTCTTCAAACCTTCCTAGAAGTCTTACGAAGTCTTACGAAGTCTGACTACCCAGACCTGGTTTTAGCAGAGCTGTTATTTATATACTTGACAGTTTAACAATTATGGACTCTGGAGCCTGACCACTTGGGTTCAAATCCCAGCTCTGCTATTTTTATGTTGTATTGACTCCTGGCAAGTTACTTAACTTGCATTTCCTCATCTGTTAAAATAGGGAAAATATTAGCACTGTTGTAAGGATTAGGTAATACATAAAGCAGGGAGAAAAGTGCCTGGCAAATATGTAATACAGTACTTTGTTGATCATTTCTGCTGTAGTATTACAAAATGTTAAAAGGCTGGGGATTAAAGAGTTGAAAGATTTGTAAAGTTTTTGTGTTTGAGAGGAAATCATTGGAAGGGAAGGAGATAAGCCCATCTGTTTAGAATATTTCTGTTGTCATTAGGTTATCTTTTCACAATTCCATTTCATTTAATAGGTCAGTTAACTTCTAAGGCAGGCTCAAAGTCAGTCTTTAAAGCCTTTGAAATGTTTTTATTAGCCTTTGCAATGTTTTATTTGAATGATCTCTTTTTTTTTGTGCCAGTAGGGATTTAACACAGGGGTGTTCTATCACTGAGTTATACTCCCAGACCTTTTTAATTTTTATTTTGAGACAGGGTCTCGCTAAATTGCCAAGGCTACCCTAGAACTTGTGATCCTTTTGCCTCAGACTCCAGAGTTGCTGGAATTAGGTGCAGACCACTATGCCTGGCTCATTCTCTTTAAATAGATTTTTTTTTTTTGCAGTTGAGCGCAGCAAAGCCTAAACTGTGAGTTTGATGTTCTCACTATTCTTTGAACAGATTTATAGGTTGTAGTATAAAAAATAAATCTTCCATTAGTCATACCTAATAGATAAAAGGAATAGGACAGGCACCCTGGTAGGGTATAGCTAGAATTGGACTTAGATTAAAAACAAACCAACCTGTTCTAATTCTGGCTTTCTATTAATTTGTGCATATGATCTTGGCCTAGTCAATTTAATTAATACCTTGGTTTTCTCATTTTATCAAAGACAGAAGTGTAATTAAGATAAAAATGTACTCCTGAAATTAATCCCTATATAAGGCAGTGTTGTGACACACAAATATTCCACCATAATATAACAAGTCTTGTTTTCCGTAACTTTTGACCCATATAATTGACTTCTATTGTGATAGTGATATGGCAGGAGATCATTTAATTTCTTTGATGCTATGTTCATATGCAGTGGCCTATGTAACAGATTTATACAAGGTATCTGAGATACTGCAAATGTCCATCCTATTCACAATCAAACTCTAAGCAAAACCTGGGTATAATAAAAGCCTTTGAAGTTATCAATGGGAAACTACATCAGAGCCTAAATTTACACATAGGTAAATTTCATTTTAAATGTATGTTTTCTAGTCTCTAACATTTCGACATAAAATGAGCTCACATTGGAGGTGAAAGGTGCCATTTAAGTATTAAGTTTTAGTAACTTACTTCTTTGAATCTGTCATTAAAGCAGGTTAATGTTAATGCTGTGATCTGGTTTATCCTGCATATGCCTCACAGCTGGGAACCATAACACCTTGATCAAGGTTTCCCTCACTTTTCACTGCTGAAAACAGGCCCTGAATTCTTAATATTAAGGGAGTAACATTATCACAGGTCAGGTTTTACTTGCCACAACCTGCTGGTAGAATGGAATATATCCACTTGTCTGGACTGGTATTAAGAAGACATTAGAAAAAAAGAAATTTTATGAGAAGAAATAATAGACTTGGATATTAACACTGAATGTTGTAATCAAAATGGCATTTTAAAATGTGTTCAAGTAAAACACTGCAATAAAAGAAAAACCACAAAATGTACTATAAAGTCTAGCTTTATTTTTAAAAAGATTTTACAAGTCTGTCAACCTTAAACATACATAGGTGAATTATTTATTCCTCTCATCAGATGAGAAGCAATGCCTCAATCCTGTCAGAAAAAAAAATAAGTAAAAAATAAATCTTTTCACAGATAAGTATTTCCTATATTTCTCAGCTTAGTTCTGAAATTTTCTCTTTGTAAATACTTTAACACAGCTGCTAGTGATAGTCCTGTTATGCAGCTGCATATGGCTATAATTTTACAAAGTCAGCTTTTTCTAGCCCCCTGGTTCGACTCCATGGTCCAAATCTTACAAATGGAGAAATAAAGGTTAACTGGGGTGCCAGAAAAGCCCACTGAATGCATCCTGTAGCGCTCTGTGACAAGCAAGAGAAGAAGTATAGCCTCCAGCAAGGTCCTGTGGAGAAGCAGCTCTGACGTGGCTTAAATACCTGGGGGGGGGGGGGGGAGAAACAAAGTATAACACTGATATAAAAAGCACACACAAATTGGTAACATTTTACAAAGCAAGAGCAAAACTGATTTCAATTTTAAAGAGGAATTCTGAGACCGAAATGTTCAGGCTTTTTATAAGTGGATCATTACCTTTCAAAAGGAAACACAGTATACATGGAGTGTCTACACTACTACTTAATTACAGAGCAAAGCAAATTACAGTAATATTTAAAAGCAATTCTGAAGGTTTCAGATAATACTTGCTATTAATATGTTCACTGCTTCACAATTTTCAGGACTTATTTGTTGGCTTTTGTTTGGACACCTAACAAATGCTCTATTTCTGGCATACTCAATAAATACACAGTAACAAAACTCTACCATAGTACTAATATTTTTGCATAAACGCTTTAACGCAAACTCCTAAATATGTTTAAAAAAATGGGGTAGAGGAGAGAGAACACACTGGTTCCTTCAAAATCATGTATTTCAAAAGTATATTTTCTTCTTTGTAGGAAGAGAAACCTTAGAAAAATCACATGTTCAAGAATTTTTTTTTTTTAACTCTTACACTGAGTCTGAGATCAAAATAATGTCTCAAATAATAAGTACAGAAGAGTCTTTTGGCCTCAAAAAAATAGACATAATTTTTCTTCAACTACAAGCAGTCTTTTCAGCAATTAAAACTTTTTTACCTTGATGAAAATAGATAAAACAGGCCTAAAAAAAAAAAAAAGGACAATCCTAATTGGAGGTACAACTATTTAACATGACTATGAACACTACTGGAAAACAAATATTTATAGCATTGCTTTAATGTCTGGTTAGGAAACCACATTGTTTCTTCAGGTCTCAGGAAGTAAAGCAGCTTCACCCATTTTAGAATTATGGGTGTAGCAAATGAATAAATCAGGTACCAGAACATTTTAATACTTTGGAACATTTTCTACTCATTCATTCAAACTTCCTGTGTGTCAAGATCTTAATGCATGAGCAACTTATATTTCTAACATAATAAGTTGGTATTTTATTGTATCCATATTTAATAAGCTTGTGTGAGTGAAAAGTATATGGCAACATAAGAGACCAAATAGAAAAAGTGGACAAAATAAGATGCAGGTTAAGCTTCTGAAATTGGCTAGAATTTATTCATAATACCACAAATTAATGTGTTAATTCTTTGCTACTCTGCCAAGGGTGAAACAAGAAAGGGGAAGGGAGAAAGGAATATTTATTGAGCAATGATTTAAAACTATTTTGGTACTATATTTATAGCAGGACAAAATATCTGCACATTCATCTCCAAAATTTGTATACTTATTTTAAAAAAATCACTATATGCTTTTATATGTAACCTTTATACACATATTATTGTAGTAAATTATTTTAATTATTTTGAAAAAATGTGCTCTTCATATTAAAATATTATAAAATATGTATAAATAGATAATTCAAAGGATGAGACAAAAAATTTAGATAAAAGTTTTGATATTTCCCCACATCCCATCTTACATACTCTCCTAGGATGCATCACACTTTGAATACTACCATTATTAAGCAGTTACTGTCAAATATTAGAGCTTTAGATCATGTTAGACTTAAATAGGGATTTGCCAAATCTACCATATGGTTATAAAGTTATCTGCTTATTACCTTCCAGAATATAATAAAATGTCAACTGTTAAGATTTCTTATGCATAAGAAATGAGATATTAAGTCATCCCAAAAAACTTAAAAAAAAATCAACCTGGCTTCAAAAGGAACTTAATAACCACCATACAAATAAGAAGTGAGTAATATTTTTACAGGCAAATTGGAAATGAAATGTTCCATTCCTGACACAAGTTTCTAGTTAATTTTTAACTACACACCAGATGATGTTGCTTTCTTTCCTCAGATCCTCAAAAGGAAAGCATAGTTTTAGCTCCAATGACTGTTCACTCATTGCAGAAGCCACCCACCAGAAAATTTTTGTCAACTCTAAGAAGACAACTATTACAAAATGAGGATTGGTTTTCATAGCTGTGATTCAAACCACTGTACAGCTAACTGTTTTGATTAATCACATTTTGTACAGCTTGCTTCTGGGAAAGTTGAGTCATACCATCTCTGGCTTGGCAATTCCATCATAAACTTGTAGTGTGCATACAACTTTTTATATGTTATCCTGAGAAACCTGAAACAGCTGCACCGCTGGCAGGAAAACACAGGACCACCAGTAAAATATCCAAAACAGTTGCATCTTTTAATTTATGACTGTGCACTGTTTCCATAAAGAGTATATAAAACAGTTCAGCTTTTATAGGTAAAATGTAATAAACAGTCATACTCATAGAGGCCATAAATGTATTTTAATAGTTTATCTAAAATGATTAGTGTTTAAAAATAGTATTTCTTGAATAGTCATAATATAGAGCAATGAGCAAATATTTTAAAATTTGAGTTATTAAAGCTAAGTTGTATGATTCTAACTGCCAAAATCAAGTCAATTAAAATTTCTTTGCATAGCTCTGAAGAAAATACACTCCCCCTCTAGCAATCACTCACATTAAACTTGTCTGGGAGTATGAGTCTTTAAGAGTCCTGCCTATTTATATTGTTGTTTCAGATTTCTAGGGCTGCACAAAACTGTTACTGCTAAGTACTTCTAAATATTTTCACCATGGTAACCTATATTAAATTCCAATTAAAAAATAAAACAATTCATTCTTATTCAGTTGTGGGCTTTTATTTTCTAGGTACCTTATTTTATGTTCTTAAGCCCTTTAATTATTGTGGTATGCCCAAGTATTTTTAAAGATTTGTTACACTGAAACCACACAATGAGAATATAGTATTTTTCTGACTTTTTTTTTTTTTTTAACCCTAATCCTCACCTCTGTTGTTTTAATTCTTCCATGACCATTAAAAATAAATCACTGAATAGGATTCCTGGGGTTTCTGGCAGAGATGAGTATCATTTCATGTAAACCATTATATAAGAGAATGAGGAAGAAGTCTTAGTCAAATTTATTTCCAAAATTTAAGCTCAGTTGGGTTTTGGAGGCTGGTGGTAATTGGTCTACGTAGCCAATCCCAGAACACTATTTCTGTTTTTTCATGGGTTTATTTTAAATATGTGTAAAGCTTATAAGCAAAAAACAGGAAAGACAAAGTGGTTTGCTTAATTTTGATACCTGTACCTTATTTTACTGAAAGCAGACTAAACTCAGGTTTTTAAAAATTCATATCTTTATTTCTTAATAAGTTTTTCTTTTTTTAAAAAAGGGATGTTTTCAAAAGCATGCATGTCTAATGTAATTCTTGGACAAAGGGCATCTTATGTTATAATTATGCTCTAAAAGTTAATCCTTCCTTTGCTATTATTATCCATCGAAATTTGTTCAAATAGATTTTGGAGAAGCAGGGAAGAAAAAGGAGCAATGGGTCCTGAAAGTTAAGTAAGAAAGAACTAAGCATTAGAATAATACACTTGAAGGTTTATTCCTAAACTTTGATTGTCTACACTGCCTTTGTTCTTGTTGTTGTAATATATAGCAGCTTTTACTCCCAAAGAAGGTGGTATAATTTACACTTGGCTTCAGACAGACTTCATTTTCTCAGTCCCTTAACATAAGAAAGTGAGATTACTCTTTTATCCTTTCTTTTAAAGCCCTATTCTGACCATCTGGCCCAAGTCTTGTCTCAGCTCATTTTAGTGCTATTCAACAATGCTTTGAGTTCTTAGCTAGGGCAGAGGGCAGGGGTTGTCATTCAATAATACCAAGAGGCAGCATTCTTCCCCTCCAGCCATAATCTGTTCACGATAACCCTTGAAACATACTAGCTCTAGAGAATCTAGAATTCTCTAAGCAAGTTGAAATCAAAACTTGAAGTTCACATTAGTTCTCTCAACTTCAAATTATCAGGCCATATAAAGACTTCAAAACTTAGATTGGTTCAAACTAAGAAATGCAGTGAACTCTAGAGACTAAGACTCTTTACAAGATGACTCATGTTCTCCTACCTTCCCTCCTTTCTATCATGTGTTAAACACCAATTCCAAACATATCTGTGTCCCAACCCACAAAATTCAAAGATAGCTGTCTATTAAGAGAGATCACCTAGCTGCTGTCAGCTGTCAAGACCAAGAACTCTTGTAAGAAGTTCAGCCAAATTTATAAAATATTTACATTAACAACTTGAAGTATACGTCAGTGAAATTTAAAAACTACAGTGCCTATAAACCTAGTGACTTGGGAGGCTGAGGCCCTAAGCAACGTAGCAAGTCCCTGTTCAAAATAAAATATAAAAAGGGCTGGTGATGTGGCTCAGTGGTTAAATGTCCCTGCATTCAAGGCAGGGGAGATTGGGGAGGGGCCAACAAAACAATAGGGTACTCATTAATATAATTATCACTAAAAATCAGAAACATTTCTAAAAACTAAAGTTAGTGCTTACATGTCCTAACTGAAACACAATATCAGAATAATAGATAAAACTGTCTACAGAGGGAGATGGATAATCATATATTCTAAGATAAATGGGGAAAGGCATTATAATTCAGACATATTTCCCATAATTCTGAGGGTGGTCTGGTTAAAGCACATGGTTTCATGAACTCCACTTTTAAAATGTAACAAATTTTCACAGATAGACATCATGTTATTCTTTGTTTTTTTAATCAGGTGATTTCAAATTTATACTAAAGGATGTTAGTACAAACAATCATGCCAGAGATTTAGACCATGCAAACACCAAAGCTCAGATTTAGAAATTTAAAAAGTCATATGGTATTCTGAAGAAATGTATAACTGAAGAAAACTGCAATTTATTGCTATCAAATTTATGCACACTAGGTGTTTTAGGAGCTACCACTGAAGTTAAGGTTAATTACATAATACAGGATACTTCCTTGATTTAAGTGTGAACTACAGTACATATAGAGGATATAGGTACTTGAATGTAACGTACACTATGAACCCTATTGTTGGTAGAGTTGAATATCTCAAGTGAT